TTTTTGTAATATATTATATAATAAAAAGTATAATTGATGACATAGAAATAAAATATTCATTTAATATATTTGATAGAATTTTTTTTGATTTTATAAATACATTAATAAAAATATAGAATATACATATACAGAATAAAATTTTATATAATATACAAAAATAAAAAATAAAAAAATACTCCCTTCGTTTTGGGTATTTTGTTAATTTTATTAAATACACGAGAATTTAAGAGGGGTATAATTAGTAAATAATTAAAAATATATTAGTGAAAATAATTATAGTATAATAAAAATAATTATAGATTAAGATTAAGATAACTTATTAGTATAATTAAAATTTTAAAAAATTATAAATTAAATTTTTTAAAATAAGATTAAAGTGTATAATTTTTTTTTTCAAAAAAATAAAGTGACAAAATAAGTGGAACGAATTGAAAAGAAAAGATAAACATGAGAAGCGGGACGGATGGAGTATTATTTTATTATTACTATAAAAAAATTTAAATAATATAAAGTATATGTAATTCTATATATTTATATAATTATATTTTACATAATATAATCTAATACTCCATCCGTCCAAAAACAATTGTCTCACTTTGCCATTTTCGTCAATTCTAAAGCAATAGTCTCATTTTCATTTTTGATAACTATCTCCCCATATTTTTACAAAACTATCATCATTTTTCGCAACAATTACATAAAGTAAAGGTATTTTAGTCTTTTAGAAACACTTTTACTAGCACTAGCAATATAATACGAGTATTTCTTAATTCTCGTGTCTATCCTAAATGTCCATATTGTTTTGGGACGAAGAGAGTATAATATATTAAGGGTGCGCTTACTATATGAAATGAGATTAAAGTGAATAAAACTATTTTATCCAACATAATCTCATGTTTACTTTAATGTATTAGAACCTTATATAATTAAAAGGTATGTTATAATTATAATAATTTATGGATTAGTAATACAATATAACCCCTTAGTATTATTTAATCCTATTTACTTAATTATCTAAATTGCAATTCTTTTCAAACACTTAGAAACTATTTACAAATATAATAACAATCTTTTTGTTTAATATATTTTGATTTCATTTTAAATGTAAGCTATATATATTTTTAAAAATTTTAATTAATAATATAAAGAGATAAGAATGCTATAGAATGTGTTACTAAAATTTATTTATAAATTGAGGATAAAATTATATATTTAATATATAATAAAAAGTATATCAAATTATATATACATATTATGTCATGGCAATAATTCAATTCAATTTTAATATTGTTATAATAGAAAGAAAAAAATAATATCTAATTCGTCTCTTATCTATGTATCCGTTTGTTTTTTGCACGGAGTTTTATGAATATTAATATTATATTGGAGTGTGATATGAATAAAGTAGAAAATACTAAAATAACCTTATTAGTATTATGTGATGTAAATGTAATGACATTTGTGTAATATATTGTAAGTTGTAAGGATATTTTTGATGTAAGTAGAAAATACAGTTATTAAAAAAGAAAATGGATACTTTGCTATGAGACAGACCAAAATAAAAAAAATGGATATATTGTTAGGGGACAGAGGGAGTATAAAATAAATTATATTACAATAATTTAGAATAACATTATTAAGGAATTTTAGGTAAGAAAACATAATTATACTATATAATCAAACAAAGTAAAAGTAATATAACTTTATATAATATTTAATCACACAAAATAAACGTTATGTTAATTAATTTATTGAAATATTTTAAATACTATAATACAATCCTTCAAAGTAAACGCACTCTAAATATTAATCTATTGTCATTAATGTAAAATTAGGACTTTGGACATTATGCGGGAACTTACCATGTACCTGAAATAAACCAATGACAATCAATCCAAAATAGCTCGTCTAAACAAAGCCTATATACTTTTGAAAGTAATTTGTCACTATTATTCAATAGTAATTTTGTTTTTAGTTTTGTTTTTTTTTAAAAAAATATATTTATTAAATATTTATTTTCTCTCGCAAGCCCTAACATATAAGGTTGTAGTTGGTTGGAGGTTTGAATTTTGAATTTGAATTTTCTGAAGGGTTTTGAAGTTACGATTTTATTTTTTATTTTGTTGAAGGTTTGAATTTATAATAATTATATTTGAAAAAATTATAATTTTATTGGAAGAATTCATATATTGATTTAGATAGTTTAAATTAGTTGATATTAAATAGTATTATTAAACAATTATGAGTAATAGTTGAAAATGAGCTTTGTTTGATGTATATAAAAAAAATGAAATATTTAATTTTTGAAATAAGGAAAATAAATGATTTTTTTAAAGAAAATAAATAATTTGTTAATTAGAGCAACACGTGCTCAGTAGTTCTATGACGAGTTAAGATCCTGCACCGATAATTGATGCAATATTAAAACAGACTGAATAAGAGTAGAGTTATAGGATTTAGAGGGTGTTTGGTAAACAAATTTTTCAAAGATTTAAGTTTATTGAAGAGTTTTTAGCTATTTGACTAGTAAATCAATCAATTTTGTTGTTTGGTAAATTAGTATTTTCAATTAGCTTATTGGGTCCGAAAAGCTAATTCTGGAAAAATTTTATATTCCAACGTTCCAGATTAGCCTTTGCATTTAATTTTTCTTATTCCTTATTTGCTCTTAAAATTAATTAATTATTTCACATATATTAATATATATTTTTATTACACTATTTATTAATTATTTGGATATATTTTCTTCTAATAACTTATAAATTCATATTTATAAATTTAAAATAATTATTTTTTATATGTCAATTATCTTATTTATAATTTTTTTTTTTAATTTTTTATCAAATATATTAAATCAATATTATATAATGAGAATTTGAAGAGTTGGGAAGAATGTTTAGCTCATGTTGAATTTGCATATAACCGTACGATTCATAGCTCTACGAATTGTTCTCCATTTGAGGTTGTTTACGGTTTTAACCTATTAACTCCTCTTAATCTTATGCCATTGCTACACAATGAGCATGTTAGTTTTGATGGCAGAAAAAGGGCTGAATTTATACAACAACTTCATTCTCAAGTTCGGGATAACCTACGAAAGGCAGCTGACAATTACGCAAAACAAGCTAACCGTGGGCGCAAGAAAGTTGTATTTGAGATAGAAGATTGGGTTTGGCTACACTTAAAGAATGAAAGATTTCCAAAATTGCAAAAGTCAAAACTTACTCCCCGTGGTGATGGGCCTTTTTGAGTGTTGGAACGCATTGATGATAATGCCTACAAACTTGAACTCCCAGGTGAGTACCAAGTTCATGCTACTTTTAATGTTTCTGACTTAAGTCTTTTTTATGCAACGAATGAATATCTTGTTCGGGAGAACAAGAAAGCTTTTCAAGAAGAAGAGAATGACGAGGACGTCCAATCTTCAAGCATTCAAATGCCTGTGGGACCCATCAGTCGAAGCCGAGCTCGTCAATTTAAAAAATCCGTCACTGCATTGATCAGACAATTTTTCATAGAGAATCAATTTAAGGATGATGCTTGGAGACCACTTACCCCTCACCTGACGCTCCTTCAATGGGACCCGCAAGAATCCCGATTGAAAGATCATGACAATCGCTAATTATGGAAGATTATCAAGGGAATCATTACTTATGGAGAGAATCACTAATCATGGAAGATTATCAAGTGAATAATCACTTATGGAGAAAATCGCTAATCATGGAAGTATATCAAGGGAATCATCATTTAGGGAGAGAATCGCTAATCATGGAAGATTATCAAGGGAATCGTCACTTATTGTGGAGGCTTCTAGAAGTACCTTAATATATATTTTCTTTTATTATAAGTTTCCATATAGTATAATTCCATATCTAAAACTTCCCTAATTATTTATTTCCTTATAGTTAGACTTACCTTTTGGTTTGTTTTCTTTATTATTTGTTGCCTTTTATTTTCCTCAAGGATCTCTATATAAGGTCCTTGCCTATCATTGTAATGGGAACCTTTTTTACATCTTGAATTAAATTTTACTTTTATAATTTTCTAGTGTTAGGGAGTGATTTCCTCGCATTTAGAATCTCAAATCGGGTCTTTGGAGTGATTCCATCAGTTCGTGGCTTCCAATCGTTTGCAGTGGGATTTAGCCTATTGTTTGTGTTTTACCTATGGATTGATTTCAGGTCCGAGACTTATTCTCGTGGTTGGTTATCATCTATACTAATTCACATTCTCTTTTCTTTTATTTTTATTCTTCATCCATTTGTTCTATTGAACTTTGTGGGTAAGGAAATTATATACGGTCATAATTATACGCGGCCGGGCCGTGTCATATATCCACCCTATAGTCAACAGATAGATACTTATAGGAAACAAACTAACAGAATAACAAATAAGAATATGTAAAATAATGAAGATGAATGAGTTCATAAGTTACCTAAATCTAAAATTTCAAGTACAATGTATGGAACAAGAGCCTTTTGTATAACAATATTTGTATGGCCAGCATATGCCATCAACAATGGGAGAGCAACAATAGATGACAACACCAATTTTTTGTCATGACATTTGTCAGCCAAATACATAGAACAATAGATATTGTATTACATTACGTAGCTTAAACATCATCCTTTGATCAGGTTTTCAAAGAATAAATTAGTGGATGGATTCCGACTTACTCCTTGTAGAGAGCTAAATCCAAGTCTAGCACCAATGGCAAGTCGGGGTGGATAAAAAAGAGAGTTGTAGTGATTCTCATGTGGTAGTTGACTCTTATCGAAGGGGTATCCGTATTGTAGCTTCCATGGAAAATGTTATAGTTTCTAGAAGCAAGAATGTGATTGGTTAAATCAGAAAATAATTACAAAACTAGATTCATTACAAGAATGAATATCGGAAATCAATTGTGCACCTATGTTGTATAAGTATATGTAAATTGACCTATTGTACATTTCGGATAAAGCCTGGATCTCGATGTTATTTCTGTAGACCTGCAAGCCATCAAAGAGGCTAAACTACTAATAAATCATATAAAATAATGTATTCAATAACCACCACTGATCGTGTAACACCCCGGCCGGCTCAAACCGGAGCGTCACCGCCACACCACACCGGAAGGCTTGTTCATCAATCAACGAGCCCTATGTTGTGGCGCTAAGGCTAAAACAATAAATACCAACAACTAAATAGGGATTTAGAATTAAAGCACACCGGCTTATCAATTAAATAAGTAAAGTTCGAATAAAAAACATAAATTAGAAAAAGTTCAAAAGGCATTAGTCTTTAAACATAATCAATGAATTTCAAAACATTTTGGAAGGTAAAGTAGTTTTAATTCCCCCGATGGATCATATGACGTGAATGCATCATTTAGGTATAACGGAAGCATGATCACCTACAAAAAGATCGTAAGAAGAGGGTCAACACAACGGTTGACTAAGCGCAATTAATCGAAGATAAATTAATACGCCACAAAATCATTTGAATAAGATAATTGAATAAGATGACATGTATCACATAAGGGGAACTCACACACACGAGTCTTTTAGCGCCTCCCTTATATCTCATTTTCATTCTCAAATAATAGTGATGAGCACATCACGAAGAAAACTCCACTAGGCCTTAATCAGGGCCGGCTCGACCCGGTTTTCCAACTTTATTGCTTCATATGACACGTCACATAGTTTCACATAATAACCATAAGGTCACAACCCTCAAGGAATACTCCACAATGTGTACATAAGGGTTCGAAATCCAAAGTACACGTAAATCAATTTTTTATTAGTTTGCGATAGGCGTCATACGGCCCACAACCCTCTAGTCTCCAATATAACATACCAAGAGGGGATTGTATGCAATCCATCCCTCCATCACAGATGACGGTCTAAAGACCTTTTCATCATGAATGACAGGCACCTCGGAATCACCCAAAAAGGGAACCCGCCATTTCGATCCCTCGACTTAGCCCATTCGGGATCTAGTTCAAGGTTAGCTAGTTATCCTAAAATACCGGTATACCCTCACGTGTTTGCAAGATACAAAGGTGGAAGGCTATGCCTTATCATCCAAACAATCGACGAGTTGATCGGACTCGACGGGTAGTCTCAATTACCAATTTGATCAAATACTCAACATGCTATTAGGAAAATTTCAAAAAGAGTATTTTAAACTCAAAATATTTCAATTGTCAACATTTAACCATGAAAAAGTAGGATATTAGACCCAACAAGTTCGTTATAATCTCACTTTATTTCGCCAAATAAACATTCGAAAAATATGTCAATCACAACAGGCATGGTCTAACTCAAAAAATCATAATATTTAAATATAATTGTAAATCTTTTTCCTAAAATTATAACTAGGTTAGGGAAAAACTAGGGTTTCAAACCCATCCATAAATTCTATGATTTTTAATTTAAAATACAATAAGAATCATCACATAAGTCTTAGATTACATTATAATCAACTTTCTAAAAGAAATTGGCAAAATCTAACACTTTTAGGGCAAACCCTTTTGACAATAATTTTGAAAAAATATCAATAGAAGGGGTCTAGGGATTAGAACATATCATCTATCTAAGATTAATCCCACATATTTCAAGAGAATAGACCAAAAGAAAGAGTTTTGGAGAAGAAGAATTCCAGAAAGAAGAAGCGGTTGGCGGCGGCGGCGTGCATGCTACTGATCCTTCCTTCTTTTTTTATTTTATTTTATTTTATTTTTTTATTAAACATAAAATACTTAGGCCTTTATTAATTATTTTACCCAACTTGGGCCCAAATTCAATTTTTACTCCTAATTTAAACCCAATTCTTTAATTTCTTACACTAAAAGCCCATAATAATATTAGGCCCAAAATAAAATTTGTCCGACTCCGGAAAACTTCCGGCAATTATTTTACGGGGTATTACAGATCGGCTCGAATTTTCCAAAAAATAAATATTTGAATTCGACACTGAGTCAAACAAAGAAAGTATTTTCCAGAATCTGTTTTGAGAATCACCAAAGCATTTTAAGTGCAAAGAAACCAGTATAGGGCTTAAGGCATGAACTTAAGTTTACTGGAACTTCTAAATTTATGTTGAAATCGATTCAACTATGCACCAAACTATTTATTCAACTCTTAATTTAATCTCTTCTTGTCTGTTAAAGTAGCAAACAAGATTATGCTGCCAAAAAGGACATAACTTAAAAATTCCAGGGTGCATCGATTAGTTCATTTATCTTATCGCATTATTGTCATGAAGAACACATTACCAAATGTTGTAAAACTTAGAGAAGTTAATATCTTACAAACACACCTACAAACTAGACACGCCCTAGTCAAAACTACAATTCAATCTATAATCCGAATGCACTAAACACTGTTAAAAATTATTGTAGTAGTTTATCTTGCCTTAGTTGTGTAGCCTTAATTTGTGCCTCTTAAAAAATGTTCGCTATCAGATGTCACATGGTCGATTGAACAGATTTAGCATTTCTTTTAGCTTTATTAGTTGATGCAGACATTGCTTGATTAGTAGTCATGTTTTTGCCAATAGTCAGAATTTTGAATTGGTTTGGCTCATCAGGAGATTCAGTTGCAAGAACAAACATAATAGACTTCTTTAGGGAGTAAAGTCGCAAAATAGGACCACTAAAATAGCTTCGCAATAAAACTTGAATGCCAATACCTTGTCTCTTTCCGCTTACAATATGAAGTGAAGCCTTCTGTGATGAACTATGAGAATTGATCCCTCTCTCGAATAGACAATGCAAGCAGAAGTTCCCCTAAACATATTATGGTAATTGCACACAAAATTCAGATCAAATTTCAACATACACACATCTCCTAAATTAGAACTGAAAATTAAAACTCAAGAAAAAGAGATTTAAGCTAATTAAACTCATACTCAATGGATCCATCTGTTGTGCCCTTCTTATTAGTGTCATACCCAACAAATTTCTCCTCACCACATACCTTGACGCCACAGGAATCAATCAAACAATGACAAAAAAGCCTAGAATGCTGATTACCGTGCTAATCAAGATCGGCTCTTCAGCTAGTAATCAATTCCGTAGCGAGCTTTCGGCGAGGTGGCCGCGGCCATCATGGACGTTGTAGCTTGCTTTTCCGCTACCATTGCTCATCCGCTAAACTTTCCTCTCTGTAGAAAATAAATGAAATATGCATTTATGTATTACACCTATATTTTATTTAAGAAAATCATAAGAAAGGCTCAGCTTTCGGTGCCTTATGTATATTTAAAAAAAAAAAAAAACATTAAAACAAAGGCACAACTTTCGGTGCCTTACTAAAACTCTTAAAAAATAAAATAAAATCAGAAGAAGGTGCAATATTCTGTGCCTTATGTATTTTTGGAAAAAGAAAATTAAAAGAAAGCCGCAACTATCCACACCTTACGAAAAAAATTAAAACAAAAGCGCAATTTTCCGCACCTCACATGTATAAAATATATTACTGTAGAAGCGAAAACATCAGCTCCTCTTCTTATATTTTTTAAACACATATTATTATTTTTAATTTTTTTAAAAAATATAACTATAAAGTAACACACAGTTGTTTGCACCTCTCCGTACACTCTTTTTATCTTTTAATAAAAACTTTTAGGCACCGTGTTAGACTCCTATATTTTTATTTTCTTATTTTTATGAAATAATTGGCGCCACTCACGGCGCCCTTATTTTTTATTAAAAATAAAATTGAAAAGATAGTGCATAAAATAGCAACAACATAAAATAATAATTATTTTTATATATATATAAAATAATAAGACACGATTTTTTGCACCAAGAAATATATTTTTTATATATTTTGGTACGAACTTTGGCTACTAATACTATCCGCGCCACGCCACGCCGCGGCACCTTATCCGTACCAAACATGGCTTTTTTGGATAGTGAATAATAATAATAATAATAATAATAAATAATAATAATAATAATATAAAAGATAGAAAGGGAAAAAGTGCATATGAGCTTGAGGGTGCATGAACCAAGTCCGGGTGCGAAGGAAAGGTAAGATAGCAGTGTATTGTGCCATTTTACCAGCTACTCACAATAATTAATTGTGTGTTTTTCAAAATTATTTTTGAAATTCAAAATAATTAAAATTAATATAAGTATTTAATTTAATATATATATATATATTTAATTTGATATTTTTGCATAAGACAATAATAAATAATATGAAAGAAGAAAGACCTTACATCCAAACACATTATAAGGGTTGTCCGTTAAAGATAGTCTGGTGGTGTGAAGATAGCCTTGTGGCTATGAGGTCAGGGACGCCTCCAGGTCTTGTCTGTCATACATGGTTCGCCTAGTATGACTTGTCTTGTCGGACTTAGTTTTGAGGCTATTAAGTTCGACCAGAGATTATCCAGAGTGAAGATGCGTATATTCGGCTATCGACTGCGAATTCTCACGTTAAAATAATAATAATAATAAAATTAAAATTCATTGATTATAACTTCGATTTTAATTTGTGTATGTACGACACTTAATTTTATCTATTTATAATTATTTCTGAAGTTATACTCTGTATATATAATTTTTCTAATATATTGAAAATTATTCATCATACCTGCATGCTAAAACTTTATACTATTTTTTTTTTTTCAATATGATAAAATTTTAGTACTACATTAATATAAAACTTTAACCTAAATAAATTGGTCTATTAAATGATACAATCGTAGACGCTTTTTTAAAAAAAATAAAATAATTTTTTTCTATATTATTTTCAAAATATTTTAAAACTTAAAAAACAATTATATATATATATATATATATGAGCCTGAATACTTGGGGTATATATATAATATACTACAATATTATAAAAATTGCATTCGTCGCTGGACAGGCTGTAGAGAGGTAGTAATAATAGATAGTGAGTGTTATGAAATAAACGCGGAATAAATTTAATTTTATTAACGAAAAAATCAATGAAAACAAAAAAAAGTTTGAACTAGGGTTTGGTTTTTAGGTTCAACCCCCAATATCACTCACTAAAGCACAAAATCGACACAAACACACATATACTGCGACATACACAACCAAACCGGCCCGAGACCCTCAACCTAGACCGAAAACAACCCCCCCCCCCCCCATAAGTAAGGAAAAACAAAGCAACGGTAGAACAGCAGTCAAAAAGAAAGGAACCACACAAACAAAGGCTAAACTCGATGTCGAACCCCTTGCAGTTCGAATCGAGACAGGGGGAATGAAAGCACCTCTAATCTCTATAGAAAACAGGAGAAAAAAGTTCGTCGGATGCTCGTCGGAGGTCTCCGGAGAAGATCGCCAGAATATCGCCAAGAGAGGAAAGTGTTTAGAGAGAGGCGAGAGTGTTTAGAGAGAGGCGAGAGTGTTTAGATTGAAAGAGTGAAGGTGAGAGTAGTGACAGCTCCCTCTCTCTACATATATATATGTAGGTTAGAACAGATCAAACGGCCAGGGTTAAAACCCTTGATCAAACGGTCCACACCAAGTCTAGGAAAAATATATACGGGTCGGGTCATATAACCATGTCGGAGGGTTGGGTTACAAATTATGGGTTGGGGCCAGGTTTAATTGGGCCACAAAATATACTCCCTTCATCGCATAAGTAAATATTCATTTGTTTTTTGCAGGTAGTTTTAGAAATATTAGTATTATATTGAAATATAGTAGAAATAAAGTAAAAATGACTAAAATAACCTTATTAGTATGTGTGATATAAAGGTAATGACATTTGTGTAATATATTGTAAGTTGTAAGGCTATTCGTAATGTTAGGTAGATAATACAGTTACTAAAAAAGGAAATTGATACTTTGTTATGAGACAGACTAAAATGAAAAAATAGATACTTTGTTATGGGACAGATGGAGTATATGTGTTGTGTTTGTGTATGGATCCAATAATGGTCTCCAAAATTATCATCAACCAAAATTTTATAACAATCCTCCACCAAATTTTGGTTATGGGTGACTAGGGCCATCGCTGCCCAATAGTTTGGATTACTTACCTGCACAAGACAAAAAAAAACATTAATTTAGCCTAATATCTACACACATGTAGAACACAGGTAATCAAATGTATCATAACATATTATTTTCAAACAAGATACAACTCTATCAAGTTTCAAGAATATTGTATCTACAACAACAGAAATACATTAAATTCAAACTTTGACAGAACTACATTACATTGTAAATGTGTCATACAATCAAAACATATAGCAAACAATATACAAACAACAATAGTAGCAAGCTTCACAAGTTTTATATCATTCACAACCAATAATAACACAATACAAAGAAGCCAATGGAAAAATCTAGGAACTGATTTCAAGCACTTATTATCAACTAATGAGCTCTTATCTTCTTTTACCACTAAACATTGAGACTTACTTTCGGAATTAAACAATTTCCTATCACTCATAGGTTCATCCACAACAACTAAGTTCTCAAACATACTTCTAGGTAAAGAAGATGAATCAAAATTACCAAATATAAAGAACACTTTAGGACTATTCCTAACCTCATATCTAAAAAATAGGTAATTTTCAATCTCATTACTATTATTTGAAACAATTCCAACATTGCTTTTAATTTCTGAAACTGTATTTTCAGTTTTCCTCACAACAGGCTGGCCAGCAACAGATAAGATTCGAAAATCACCCACAAAAATATCAATTTCATTATATAAAGCAAACTCCACCTCATTTTGAACACTATCAAAAACAGTATTAATTTCTCCCTCAAATTTGATATTATCAATTTCAACATCAGCAGATTGAACACAATCCGAAACTGAATTAATATCATCACAATTAAAAACATAATCTCTCACTCTCTCCACCTCTGCATTTTCGTTTCTTAGAACAGATACACTTTCAGCAACATTACAGTTAATTACATAATCAATCTCAGCAATTTCAATGTCAACATATTGTACATTTTTGGATTCACAAACAGTATGCTGAATATCAGTAGATTCAAAACGAAAATAAGATTTTATAGATTTAATTTCTTTGTTTTCTATATCAATCAAATTATACTCCACCTTATTTCCTATATTACAAAATTCTGTATTAATATCAATAGTCTCAGAATCAACAAACTCAGATTCCTTAATATTCAAACATGGCATACAACATTCATTAAATGTCACATTATTACTAATAACAGTTTTCAAACCGGATCTAGAACTTAACCACAATCTGTACCCTGTAACACCATAACCTAAGAAAACACAATTTTCAGTTTTCATCTCAAAATCATCAATGCAAACATGTATCACATCAAGACACCCAAACACACGAACATTAGATATGTCGACTATTCTACCCAACCACTTACTTTCAGGAATTTCACCATTAAGGGGGATAGAGGGTGTTTGATTTAAAACATAGATTGTTGTTACAGTAGCTTCACCCTAGAATTTTCTAGGTAAACCAGACGACGTCAAAAGACATCTAACTTTTTCCAAAAAAGTCTGATTTAACCTCTCAGCAACCCAACTAAATTGAGATGCCTTGAGGACAGATTCAAAATTGATACATTTTTGCACAAAAAAATTACTAAACCAGGTGTTACAAAAATTTAAACCATTATCAGTTTTAATATATTTAATTTTTCTGCCAGTTTCAACTTCAATTTGAATTTTCCAATTCTTGAAAATTCTAAACAAATCCAGTTTATTTTTCAATAAGAAAATCCAATTTTTTCTAGAAAAATCGTCAACAATAGTTAAGATATATCTACTCCCACCATAAGTGGGTTCATTAGAAGGTTCACATATATCAATATGTATACATTCCAAAACTTTTTTTGAAAAAATATAATTTTCAGGGATTTTTGACGAAAATTGAACTTTATTAAATTTTCCAAGTTAGCATATATAACAAAAGGCAATAATATAAAATTTTTCATTTTCCAAATAATCCGATTCATGCAGAATTTTCAAGTCATTATTGCTAGTATGACCTAATCTCTTATGCCATAATTCAAAATTATCAATTTCAGAATTATCTATATCAGAACATACATTCACAGGTATAGTAGAGGTTACATATAAGTCATTTTTTAATTCTGCCCTAAAAATTACTAAAGACCCTTTTGTTATTTTCATGCAATTTAAACTCCACTTTCCTTCTAA